TCATTCTTCTTGGATCAACTATCAACACTCATGGAAGCAGCAGTCAAGAAATCAAACAACGTATTGCATTAGGCAAATCTGCTGCACAAGACCTTTTTTAAGTGTTGAAGAACAAATATGTCAGCTTGAAGACTAAGGTGCGCCTGACCCAAGCCATGATATTTTCCATAACCTCATATGGATGCAAAAGCTGGGGGAACTGCATACATGTAAGAAAGACTGTAGAAGAGTTGATGCCTTTGAGTTATGGTGTTGGAGGAGAGTATTGATAGTGCCATGGGCTGCCAAAAGAACCAATAGATGCATTTTGGAAGAAGTGCAGCCAGAGTGCTCATTGGAGGCCAAGATGGCCAAACTTCTTCTGTAATACTTCAGCCATATTGTCAGGAGGGACCAGTTGCTGGAGAAGGATATCATGTTTGGTAAGGTCAGAGAAAAAGAAGACAACCCCCAATGAGATGGATTGGCCAAGTGGCAGCGTCAATGGACGCAAGTGTGGCATTGGTAGGTGGTGAGATTGGCCCAGGATTGGGTAGTGTTTCATTCTGCTGTGCATAGGGACGATATGAGTTGGTACCGACTCAATGGCACCTAAGAACAACAACAAAAATAAGGATGCAAAATTTTCCCTCTTCTAAGATTATTTTTATAGCCACGATGAATTTTAGGAGCCCAAATGTAATCCTCACTGCCTCAAGAGACTTAATCTTTGAGGGAAGTGTGGTACTCAGGGCCTTTTCAATATTTATCCCTTCATGCTTTTCAAATGGTGATTGTCAATATCTTTTGCATTAAGAACTTGGCTTATTACTACCACAAATTTCTTTTATTATGTATTACTAAGGAATTAGATATCTATAAAAGCCAACTTAGTAATGTATCTTAAAAAGGCAAATCAAAACACATCTGATAGCTTAGTGGGTGCTTAGGTCCTGTCATTTAGCTGTTAGTGTCGTATGTGTCTTTGTCATTAAGTGAAAATGTATCACTTTTCTAGGCTCTGAATCATCCTTTTGCTTTATGGAACTAACATTACTTGATCAAATTTATATGATTTTTTTTTTTTAACAGTTCTTCTGTTTGCTTGGTTTTTGGTTTTGTTAAAAAATATTTTTCATTGATATTTCTTAAGGAATTTTAATTTTTGCTTATTCCCTTGGTTGACTTTTGTTGTTAATTTAAAATATAATATAATTGTTTTGGTCATTCATTTTTTTCTTTTCTTTTCAATTGTTTGTTTTTCAGACCCGAGTCAGAACTCCATCACAGGGGAATACAGCCAGCTGTTAGGTATAGTATTAATGTGGGGATTCACTTTCTAAAGTCACCTTTTCCTCTTTATATTAACAGACAATATGATCTTTTCTAATGGTATTTTCTGTCCCCTCCTTTTCCACTCTCTACTCATCCTTTTTCCTCCTGTTTATATTCCCAATTTGGTTAAGAATTTTTGGAAACTACTTCTGCAGTTGATTGTTATGATTCAGTTTATTTACATTTGCAAGCAAATTTTGCATGAACCAACTCTATGGTACTTAAGAACAGCAACACCATAGTTTAAAACACTCTGTGAGAATTAGAGTTTCTTGGTCTTTTGACCACCTTATTTTCATTAACGTCATACTTCATAAACAGCATGGCCTTAAGTGAGCTATAGAAATTTAGTGTTCCAGTTCCTTACCAGTGTGACAAGCTATGCACATGAATTAATTTCCCATAGTTATCATCTTTTTAAAATACAGTAAGGTTTTAATTTGACAAGAATTTCACAATATCTTAGAACTGGTGAAATAACAAAATATAAAAATAAAACACAATTTAGTAAGAATTTTAGACAATACAGAAATTATATTATAAAGAAAATAAAAGTCCACGATAGTAGCTTTTCTTGTCACCATCCCACCTCCACTCCCTTTGGTCGTTTGGACTGTTGGATAGCTTGTGTTATCCACAGCTACATTTGCTTGGTAGTTCTTTGGGGAAATTTTATTGCACATTTTCATACTATATGTCTTTTTTTCTCTTTTATACCAATTGTATAATATCGTGTGCACCATATATGATACTATAAGCTACATAAAGAAACTTGTTTAGAATAATTTGGCCTACTAGGTAAAGAACTGGTTCCATTGTTCTGTCTGCAGAATTGAATTTATAGTGGTACCTTTCAGACCTTTCTTGATAAGTTAGATTCATAGTAGTATCTTTTAGAGAAACTTGGTGGCACTGTAGATTAGGTATTGGACTGCTAATCACAAGGGCAGTGATTCAAACCCACCAGCTGCTCAGTGTAAAGATTTGTAGTCTCACACACCCTACATACGGTTGCTATGAGTCAGAATCAACTTGACGGCAGTGTGTGGATGTTCTGTGATTTGGTTTTCTTTTAACATTTTCTCTTGGACATCTTATAGATCTGCCTCATTGTTTTGTGTTTGGTGGAATAACATTCTGTTGTATTTCTATACCATAATTTATCCATTTCCTATTCATGTGCATTTTAGTTATTTCCAGATATTTTGTTGTTATAAGCAAAGTTGTAGTGAACATCTTTGTACCTAGATCCTATATGATTGCCAGTATATTTTTGGTATAAATTGCTAACAGTGGATTTAATTTGGTCAAATGGTATGTATATACATTTTCAAAAAGATGTTTAAATGCCCGCCAACAAAGAGTATGCAGAAATACTAGGTTCCTTATTATCAAACCATAGGCATTATCAATCTTAAATTTTTTTTCCTGTCTCTATTGTTGTGAAGTGCCATCAAGTCAGTTCCGACCCATAGCGGCCCTGTACAGGGTTTCCGAGGCTGTAAATCTGTACAGGAGCAGAAAGCCTCATCTTTCTCCTGCCTAGCAGCTGGTGGTTTCGAACTGCTGACCTTGCGGTTCGCAGCCCGATTCGTCACCACTATGCTACCAGAGCTCCTTCTCTAGTATATGAAAAATTGCATGTCTAGTTTTTATTTGCATGTAATTATGTACTTCTAAATCTGTTAATACAGAAGAAAGATGAGGCTCTCTGTTCTCACAAGGATCTTTTTTTAAAACCCCAGAAACTATATGCAGGGTCGCTATGAGTTGGAACCGACTTGATGACACTTAACAACAACAGCATTTTATTAATAGCCATTTTGTGTGTACATATTTTGCTTTCAGGCTCATTTTATTTGTATATTACTGATCAGAATATATTGAAAACCCCTGTAGATAATACATTGTTAATTGTTGGTAAGTGCCATCAAGTCAGTTCTAACTCACAGTGACCCTGCATAGGGTTTCCAAGGAATAGCTGGTGGGTTTGAACCCCTAAACTTGTGATTAGCAGTCCTTTGCTTATCCTGCAGTGCCACACCAGGACTCAGTTATCAAAAAGTCCTAAGTAGAGAAAGTACTTGGTCTGATTTGTTTTCACAGTTTTAGTTGAGAAACTTAGGATACTCTTTTCTACATTTTCTTTGCTAAGGAGATAAGAACTTTATGATCTTACTTCTCACTCCTCTATATCTGACACACAGCACACTCATTAAATATGGCTTAAATAAATGTACCTCTGCTTGATATAGACTTAGGAGCATTTCTTTACTTGGAACTCGGAGCTGATCACCAAGGCCCCAAACCTTTTGATATTAAGGGCATCAGTATTCTTTTTTTGGTTTGGTTTGGTTTGGTTTGGAAGGTGCTTTACACAGGCAAAAACTGAGATCAAGGGACAGGATAACAAATGAAATGGGTCCAGAATGGAGAAAGGAGGCCACACTAAAAAGTAGGGATGGGGTGAGGGTAGGCAGCATCTGTTAGACTGAAGGTTTTATTTCAGCAGACATCCTTCCCTGGCTTAAAAAAAAAAATAAAAAGGTGAAAGGCAGGGGCAGGGGAGGTCACGGAGTCAACATGTCATCACACCCAAAAGGGAGCAGAGCTCCCATCCAAGAACTCGAGGCCCCTTCTGAAGTGACACTCGGGAGTGTGTGCTAGCTCCTAGACAGGGAGGAGCTGAGTTTTCTAACATTGTTAAGAAAAAAAAATCTATCAAATATGTTCATTCTCGCAGAGGCTAGGGCTGGGTTTTCAGGGAAAGAGATCCTGGGCTGACAGCAGCTGGGGTCCCAGAGGCAAAGCTGGGCTGGCAGGAGATCCTGGAAGCAACCCATTCAAGAGCCCTAGAATCTGTATTTGGTTTGGGTCTGCAAAGGCTGAGCTTGTTCTCTGACCAGGTGTTCTTCAGTTCCAGCTCCCGCTCCTTAGCCTGGTGAATCAGGTATGTGATCTGTTTCCGCTGCTGCTGCTGGCCTATTAGCCACTCACCTTTCATTTTGCTGAATGACTTCATGGTTTTCTCTTCTGTCAAGGACTTGGTCATCCACTGTTGGGCTCCACTAAGCTGGTCATCACCCTTGATCCTCACAAAGTTGATTTCTTCCCTTCCTCGGTTCCTCTTGCACTGAAGTCGCTTAAATGCTTAGTCATGGATGAAGGAGGCATCTGGGGCAATTTCCTGGGAAGGGGCCAGGGCCAGATACTGTTTGGGATAGAGGCACCACTGTAATAATCCTGATAATAAGCATCAGCAGCATTGGCATCACCATGTGCAGAAAACTGATTGTAGCTGTAGTTGTCCAGGCTTAGGTATCCTAGGGGCCCCACTTAGGCCTGCTGCCATCCTAAATTCCAGGGGGGGTGTTGGCTGCATACCTGGAGGCAGTTCTTCAGGGTCAGTGGGGATATAGGATAAGGGTATGGCTCAACTGTATGGGCTCAGCCTTGTCAGGGAGGGAGAAGAAGTTCTCAGGGACTACTACCTCATCACTGTCGCCCTCCTATGTGATCTGCTTTATCACCAGCAGGGCAGCAAGCACTCTTGGCAGAAGCCTTGATGGCAGAGGGCGATAGAGTGGTGGTTGTGGTGCCCACAACTGGGCCAAGAGAGGAAGGCTTTGTCTTAGGAGCCATCAGAGGGTTTCCAGGAAAAGGCATGGGGCAGGAGCAACCTGTTTGTCTCTTTCACAGTCAAGTTTGTAGGTTGAGGAAGGAAGGCCAACAAACCAGCGCCCTCGCCAGATTCCTGAAGGACAGTTTTCTTCTTTGTGGGGTTCATCTTCCTCAGAATCTGAATTCCCCTTGTGCAGCTCCGGCGCTCGATCTTCACCAACTCCCGCAGACTGAGGCCAGGGCCTCAGGCAAGGGCAACCCCAATCCCAGTTCCTCCCCAACTCCCTCCACCTCAGCTGGGTTCATGCCTAGAGGTGGGGTGAGCCTCCCAGGCCCAAGGGCAAGGGGGAAAGTGGCTGTGTTTCCTGTGGGTGGCGGCAGCAACAGCCACAGAGGAAAGGCTGGGACCAGCATATGAAGAGGCGGGGGCAGTAAGGCCGGACCCTTAGGCGCCGGTAGAGATGCGAACAACCCCCCCTAAAGTGGGCCCAGAGTCTGGGGAGCCGCCTCTTCCTCCTCCGGCTCTGGCACAACCTCATCTAGTTCACTCTCATCGCTGCTGGCATAAAAGCAACCAGTGACAAGACGCCTCCTGCCTTTGGGGCACCCTTGCTGACAAATGAGGCCTACTCGAGACCAGGGATACCTGGTGGCTTAGTGGGCCCCATCCCTGGGCAGGACGGGGCCTGCTCAGTACTCTAGGACTATTCCCTGTAGGAGTCCATGACCATAGTTGATTTCTACCGAACAAGGGAGTCCTGGTGTGGCGCTGTGGGTTAATGTGCCAGACTGCAAAGCCATTTGAACTGCAATGTTGGCAGTTCAAGCTCACCAGCTACTCGGAAACGCTATACAGAAACTGACACAATGGTAAACAACAACAACAAACAACTTCGCTTATGCCCCCAGTCCCGGGCAACTACACACAGCTCCACTATACTTATTTTATACTTTCATATTGGATAGTTTATTTTAACTACTCAGAATTAGTCCTGTAGTGTGCTTTTTTTTGTTTTGTTTTTTTTTAAGTCACATTTAGATTTGGAATAGTCAGGATTTTGTTGAAAGAATTCATCTGTCACTGAGAGACACATTTCCCCCTTAACTATTAAATTACTCTGTCCTTGATACATACCTAACAAAGACTTTTAGAAGTACTTTATCACCTGACCAGGAACAAATGGACGATGGATATAGAGAAGTACTTCTATAATGCAATAGACACTCAACAGTTGGTGCAACTCTAGTATTATTAAGGTGGATTTTGTTATGAGTTAAGTACCTGAAGTAAAACAATTACCAAATAAGTGGCTGGAAAAAAAGCAGTTCTATGTAATTGATAAGGAAAAGTTCTC